TTTGCTGGCTGAGGAATTCTGGGAGTTGAAGTCCACAAGTCTTAAAGTTGCCAAGGTTGGACACCCCTGCTCTAAAGATTAAAGAAAAAGAACAGCTTGTTCCTTCATTCTTGTGTTCCACTACAGGTCCATGCAAACTTTGTAGCAGGGAAGAATCGATACTTCCACTTAAACAAAAAACAAATAAGAACGAACAGGGAGGTTTTGTAGATAAGGGATAGGAAAGCAAGGGAACCAACCATCTTTCCCATAATCTGGGCAGAAAATAAAAAAGTGCCCACTGGGAAATGTGAGATTAGAATGGAGTGATGAATTTCTAGAAAGAACAATCATTGGCTTATAGGCCATCATTGAATCAATCGAAGACTGTAAGAAAACAGTTACTGACTATAAGATTTATCACAGGAACCTGGATGCCAAGGATAAAGTTGCATAGAGCAGCAACCAGCCCACTGGAAAGGTGGGAAGAATGTGCCATGACCTGTAACTAATTAAATATGTTGCTGTCAGTGGATTGGAAGGAAGTAGAGCAAACCATCTGCTTAAGCTGACTTAAACTGGAAAAGAGCATTCAAGGAGTGCTGCGCCACCAGTGCACAAACAGGATTCTACTGAAAGCAAAGCAAGAGTTAAAAGACTCCACCAACCCATGAGAATATATTGTTTTGATGTGCTGACTGAAATTCCTCAGCTGTTGCACTGGCAGTTGCTTCAAACAGCTTTGCAGTGGGGTGAGCCATTCCATAATCAAAGGGATCTGCTAACAAGAAGGTGACACAGAAAAAGTCAGTATTGCTCCCCACGAAATGTAGTTGCAAACAGCGCACCACAAAACTGCCTCATTTACTATGTAAGAGTGTGTATCATAGTTGTATAACTATTGTGTCAGCAGTTTGCAATATTGGATTGTTTGGTTATTTATTGTAATTTCTCTTTTGTGCTAGAAACCTGTAAAATATGAAGTGTGTATGAAGGAGTGTATGCAGGGTATAGCAAACCCCGACACATATAAAAAGTGGACAGAACTTCAATCATATCATCATGGTCACCTATTCCAAGAACATTCCTGAATATGAACTAATATCAATAATGAATATGCAAATGAATTATCTTACTAAGTTCACCTATTTGAAAGTGAATAGTTCAAAATGACTGTGTATATTCAATTAAATAGAGTAGCTCTAGTAATATTTCACTTTCTTTCAAGGCAAGTCAGCCACAGAAAATATAAATACAATTTATAGAATTAAATATACAGAATTACAACTGCTAATCCGATAATGTTACCTTGTACAAAAGAAGCATTATTCCATTTCTAATTAAAGTATAACTAACATTTGATCACAGTATGTAATATTAATAATTGTCTGGATTTAATTGTGTATATGTTTCTAGTTCTTCAATGTGTTAAGACCCTTAGAGATTTCATTGTAAACCAATTTCAGGAGTCAATCTTACCTAAATTGCAATTATTCTCGGTATCAATCTTAAAATTAAAGAAAAATTGTTCTTAAATTAGCCTAAGTTCTGGAGTAAAGGATTCACTGGATGATAGTTAATTAACTTTTGGAGTATAAATATTTACACAAATATATAGTTAGCATGAATACAATTATATTCTCTTTTTCACCATTCAAAGCAGGAACATCCCAGGGGATAGTGTTAGAAAGTAAAGATGTTAACTGTGACCACACAAAAGACAACATGACCCCTTTAAAATGTGTTGTCAATATGGTACATGTAAAAATGGGGTGAGATTTTTAGTGAACAGATGTGGTTGTCATTTTGACTTTATTTTAACTTCTTTCCCTCACATATATCTCTGAATCAAAGTATGCAAAGTGCCAAATAAAAACACAAATACTTAGAAATTTATTACAAACACGTACATGTCCAGAATACATAAACATGTGGACATATGTAAACTATGTAAATTATATTATAATGTAAATGTAAATTGCATAAATTATTGCAGAATGACATAGCATCTTTTTCTTAGCTCTCTCTCCTTATGGAATTCCTGGTATTAAATAATCACTGATGGATACCAAAGCTGACCACTTTCTATAATTTAGTGATTGCTACCTTCTATAGGAGAGGAACAAGCTGCTTCTGCTTTGCTCTTCTGTATCACATGTCCACTTTTTAATTCCTAGGGGAAATATAAGGGGATATAAGCCATATATCATGGGAGATTCATGTTCCATGTGCCCAGATGGCTACTCCTGCAACGACAATCTCTGTGGTAAGTTGAGAGACTAAATATTCTCATCTGACTGCAGGTCTGAAAAAAGGCATCTTGTTTATGTCCTAGATTAATTCTTTCCTTCGTGATTATCTGTTGAGTTTAAATTTAATTAATTCTGCTGCTAGTAGCTACTACATAAATACACCATTTCAAAAACTGATGACCAGTAGATGTGTTTGACTTATACTGTCCTAAGAGGGAAGATGATTTACTTTTTTAACAATTCAGTAACTGCGATTACTGTGATAAAGTGCATGTCTAAAAGAGATTAAACATTTCAGACTAAGCTTTCTGTCCCATGTGACCACAAATCAAACATATTTCTATGGAGACAGTGATATATTCAATTGAAATCCATCATGAACAAAGTAATGAGAGGATTACTTCATCTTCTCTCATAGCTATGCTATTCTGAATAATGAGGGGATTAAAATATGGACATTTATTGCTGACAAATTACCCAAGAGTTCCAACTGAGGTTTATACTGGAAAAGAATGGTTTAAATCACTATTTTTCTCTCATGATGAAGTCCTTTATAGCTCAAAATTCTTTCCAGGTCTGTATAGCGTCTACATGAAGATGTGAAAGGGAGGTCATTCAAAGGCATTAGGTTAGGCCCAGTAACTGATGATACCTAGTTATTTATCTCAATCCCTATCCAACCAAGTGATGCTATTAAGGTTTTGCAACAGAGCCTGAGGCTGATGGAGGTGACTTAGGTTCAACCCTGGCAAACAGAGTGGTACTTATAGATATTGGAGCCACTCAGTTCCAAAAAGCTGCGATTACCAGAATCCTTGCCTATCAACTAGTCATTCAGTATCACCATCAAATTATGATGGTGCTGAATGAACAGTACGTATGACTCGTCCTCAAAGTTCCAGCTGGTGCACTTTGATTTTAGTTACGTGATTACAATTTGGTTATTTGGCAACCGGCTCACACTTAAGATGGCTGCAGCACCTTTAGTTATGTGATAGCTGTTTGTGACCTTCGTTTCAGCAAATGGAAAGCTGGTAGGCAAGATCACAAATAGCCCTAATAGCTTCCCACCCAACCTCCCTGGACTTGCATGCTGTTACATATAGCCACTGGTCCCACAAGAGGTGGTATTCAGCAGATTCTGACCAGTTCTGGAGAACTGGTAGCAGAAATTTTAAGTAGTTCAGAGAACCAGAAAATACCACCTCTGACTGGAAATTTTACAGTATCCTTCCCTTGTCATTGCCCACCAAGCCATGCCCACAGAACTGGTAGGAAAAAAATTTGAATCCTACCACTGCATCCCACTCTTTACCTGATACTCCCACTGTTTCCCACTTAATGACCCAAGGTTATGACAGCATCCAGGACTGTCTGAATCACTGTTGCGAAGCAATACATCATGTGACATGGGCTTTATGACCTGGTCACTTAGCCATGGCAATCCCAGTCCCGATTGCCTTCACAACCCAAGGACTACCTGCATTGTTTCTCAATGGGGTTGCAATTCTCCAGATAGAAGAGATCTGAAATTTAGGGGCTCTTCTAGACTCTTGGCTCCTGCTCAAAAAGCAATTGTAAGCTGTGGCTATGTAAAACTTTGCATAGTTCATTTTGTGTGCTATTGCATTCATAGCAAATAGCACACAATGCAGGGAGATTATACTCACAATCATTTATGCCTTAGAGATTTCTCACTTGGACTATTGCAATATGTGTTCCATGGTGTTGTCCTTGAAGACAGCTCAGTAGCACCTTAGTATGTCTATGTAAACTACTACTACGCAAGATGCACTCATGGAATTACCAATTACCAGTGGAATTACTAGCGCAATACAAAGTATTGATGTTCATCTATAGGATGGCAGAAAACCTGCAGCACAGTCTGTCTCTAATTATCACTGACTAATTTACAAGATCCAATAGGATTGGCATGCTCTGGATTCCATCAAGTAAACAGGTCACAGTGACTGCCTCATGGAACAGCATCTCCCAAAAGATTTGGCTAACACCAACCCTCCCATTAAGAAAGTTTGGAAAACCTATATTTTCTCTTAGGCACTAGACTGGGTGGGCACATAAGAGAAGAGACCAAACATTTCATACTAAACTTTCTGTCTCATGTAGCTACAAATCAAATATTTCTGCTGGAAATGTGAATATGTTGTGCCTTACTTCTAGATTTGCTATGCATTTTATTTCTTTATGGTTGTTTTTTTGTTGCAATGTTTTATAAACCCTGTTAGTCACCTGGAATTGATATGTGAGTAGGCAGCCATATGCATTTAATTAATTAATTAAAATCATGAGTTGGTCCTTAGGAATGCGGCTTTTTGATGAAATTTGATTGGAATGATACAATTGTCTGCTTTATGGCGGTTTGCAAACATAACATCCCCAGTCAGATATGATAGATGTGGTCTAAATCCTTTTCCTTAAACATTGTCATCTTATGGGACCTACAGGGTCCTCTTCTCAATAGCCATCCTGTCCTTTTGAATAGCTTTCCTTATATATTTGCCTTCCAGAAGGTTATGAAATCTTGCCTCTTCCTTCCAAAATTGAGCTTGGTTAGAAGATCAATGTTCTGGGAATAGCAATAGCACTTAGACATATACTGCCCTATAGTGTTTAACACAACTCTCTGGGTGGTTTACAAATGTCAGCATATTGCCCCCAATAATCTGGGTTCTCATTTTACTGATTTTGGAAGGATGGAAGGCTGAGTCAACCCGTCAGGATTGAACTCCTGGTGTGTGGGCAGAGTTAGCCTGCAATGTTGCATTCTAACCATTGTGCCACTAAGACTCTGGTGGGTATGGAAGGGTAGGAAAGGATATGATCTATTGTTACATTGTTTTTATGGGTTATTGTGAAGTGCCTGGGATCACTGTATGAGATAAGCAGCCAAGTAAGTTATGGGTGAGGTAAAAGGAAACCAGTGCTAATGGATATGTACACACATGTTTCACAGTATTTTATGTCAATCGATGCTAAATATGAGAATAAATCTGTTGTCTATGATAGAAAATCCCAGTGGTATCTTCTTCTTGATATTGTTTAAAAATATAAGAATTAAATAACCTTTTCCTAATCTGGTACCCAGATTGGTGAAGGCTAAACTAGATAATTAACGTTCATTGCGTCCTAATGGAGTCCCATTTAAATGATGCTCTATTTGCAGTGCCTCTGGGAGGCCCAAATGCTTATTTCATCTTTTATTTCATCTTTTATTTCTTTTAAGAAATAAATGTCTGAACTCGAAATTCCTTACAATGGATTGCAGTGGAGTTTTCCAGGGCCCAACTAAGCAACACTGGCATCTGTTAAAATCCAGATAGTATCTAGAGTTAATTTAAAAGCAAATGTTTATGTGCTGCTTTTTAAAGGCATCCAAAATCTTCAACCTGGGATAGCCTCATACAGAGTCTCTTACACAGCAATCCCTTCCAGTAGCATAAAAACGTGTGTTGAAGTACAATGCTATTTCCCTGCCCCACAAATTATTGCTGACTTGCTGTCAATCTATGTATTTTCTACCAGATTCCACTGCTGATGTAGGAGAAACTACTGTACCACCCACAGTCCCTGAGTTGGAAACAACTACTATCCTAACTGCAAGCCCAAGTTTGCAGTCTATCATAACCGTTTCAGCAGAACACATACCAGGAACTCCCCAAATTGGCACTGAAACAGGATCAGAACCTCCCACTACAGATGATCAAGGCACCGCTTCAGGCTTCCAAATTCGCACCGAAGCACAACCCATTGTGACAGAAGGGCCAGATGTGGTATCTGACCTGCACGCAGGCACGGATGGGATTGATGAATTCTTGATGACCACAACCAGTGCTACGTCTTTTATAAACATAATCCCTTCTTCTATTTCTCCTGAAACGGAAACTAAAAAAACTACTGGCACAGAGCATCCATCTTCTACTGATGTCTTAATCACAGCCCAAACATCCCTGATCAAGACTGAGCGACCTGTAACTACTCTCACAACTACAAAGACTGTCTCCACTCCCAAACTGCCATCTGTACCTAAGCCCCCCTCCGTGGCCAAGCCCCCCTCCGATCTCAAGCCCCACTCCGTGGCCAAGCCCCCTTCTGATTTCAAGCCCCCCTCTGTGTCCAAGCCCCACTCCGATTTCAAGCCTCCCTTCATCCCTAAGTCTCATATTTTTCCTAAGCCACCCCCCATCCCTATAAAACGCCCCATCTCTAAAAAACCAGCACACTATCGTTTGATGGCCTATTCCAAAGCCATCCAGAGCAGCAGCAATTCTTTCCAGTCTTCTGCAGGTAAGGCAGCCTCAATATCTGTCTGCCTGCCCTGCCTTGGGTGCAAACAGATCAGCCAACCAGAGGACATAAAGGCTGCACTTAAAGAGCTGACCTTCAGGTATCCCTACGCACCTTGCTTTGGCTCCCTTCCCCGATGGCAACGACACAGCAAGTGCAGTTGGTGTGGGCACACTCAAAACAATGCACTTAGAAACACCAGGCCTTACTGGCTCCACACTTCATAGTTGTTCCTAATCTAACGTATTTACAGGTAGTACTCAACTTACAACAATTTGTTTAGGGAACGTTTCAAAGCGACTTATGACTGTTTTTCACACTTGCGACTGCTGCAGCATCCCCAGGGCCACATGATCAAAATTTGGGTGCTTGCCAACTTACTCATATTTATGATGGTGGCAGGGTCCCGGTCCTGTGATCCCCTTTAGCACCTTTCTGACAAGCAAAATCAATGAGAAAACCAGATTCACTTAACAACTGTGTCACTAAGTTTAACAGCCTCAGTGATTTACTTAACAACTATGGCAAGAAAGGGTGTAAAATGGGGGAAAAATCACTTAACAAATGTTTCACTTAGCAACAGAAATGTTGGGCTCAATTGAGGGTGTAAGTCGAGCACTACCTGAATATATAAACTCCTTCCTCCTTTTCCTTTGTTCTTGCTTGTATATGAGTGTCCGTGTGCACATTTGTGCCTTTTTCTCTTTTCCTGTAGCTGAGCAAACATTCCATAAAATGTGGATGGAATTGGTACAAAGAACAGAATTTTCAGCGAGGCTTGTTGGGAATCGTTCTCTGTTTCCACTACTTCTACATTTTCCTCAGTTCAGGCTGTGGGAAAACATCTAATTTCTTCTTTGCTTTTCTCAGGATTTTGGCCTGAGTCAAAGTCCAGTAATAACAGGCCCTTGGCTTGTGTGTCTGATCTGAAGCCCTGACGCAATTTTCCACATCACCTTACTTGTGGCATATTTATTTATAGGATTTTGCCCGCATGCCATTCTCATACCTCCCGCCCTGCTTTTGAGTTAAGAGTTAGAATGTCCCCAGTATGCTCTTCTTTATTGATCTGTTCTCTGCCAAAAATGCCAGACTATTAAAAGAAATCTGGAACTTGAAAATGGAATAAATTACACAAGCAAAGCATAGGCATGCACCTTTACTGACTTCTTTAGCTTATTTCAAAATAGGAGTTCATTTGTGCTTTCTTGATGTAGATGCTGAAGCTTTCTGACCTAGAAAAAATATAAACCCAAACAAACTTCTGGATTCATCATATCCTCTGGAAATGTAAGGCAGGCTGATACTGTACTGCATGTCCTGTTTGTGGAATTGGATACAGTAAATGATTGACTAGGAAAACTTGGCTAAGGAGTTTCCAGAGAAACCCAGTATACAACCATTTAATCTTAGACTAAATAAGCAATGCCCATGAGGATAAAATATTGAGTGTGAAGTGAATGGAGTGTCCTCATCCAAAGGTTACGTACAGATTTAAAAAAAAAAACTTTCAGGACTCTTCACTGCTAAAATATTTTGATCAGGCAATATTATTAATGAATGATTAAAAAAAAAGCTGCATATGTAAATGGAATCATTTTGTGAGAAATGATTCTTTCTAAGCTATCATGCAATGTGGTTGATTTTAAAAAAACATTGTAGCCATTGGATACAGGAAATCCTTGACTTGCAACCATTCATTTGGTGACCAAAGTTACAAAAGCACTAAAAAAAGTACTGATGAGCCTTTTTCACGCTTATGACCATTGCAGCATTCCAGTTCATGTGATCAGAATTTGGATGCTTGCATTTATGATGGTTGCCGTATCCTGGGGTCATATGATCACCTTTTGTGACATTCTGGTAAGCAAAGTCAAGTGAAGCCAGATTCACTTAACAACCATGTTATAACTTAACAAGTGCAGTAGTTCACAATATCTATGGTAAGAAAGGTCATAAAATGGAGCCAAACTCATTAACAACTGTCTTGCTTAGCAACAGAAATTTTAAGTTCAATTGTGGTCATAAGTTGAACCTATACAGACATGATGCTTGATTACTGGTAATCACATTAGTATCTCTGTGAACAGGATGCATTTAAGTTCAACCTGAAGCTACTTGATGGTCCTGAAATGTCTCAGTCATTTACGTAGGCCAGAAGTGTCAAGCTTGCGTTATCACGGTGGTATCATGTGACGCATCATGACTTTTTCTCCCTTCGCTAAAGTAGGCATGGGCATGGCCAGCACGTGATGCATCCAGCCCAGGGCCGCGAGTTTGACATAGACATTTATTTTGTTAGTTTCAATGGTGTTTACAGTACCTTCAAGTGAATTTATATGCAACACTATATCTCCTCTAAAGATATGGATAGCTACAATAGCACACTTCATTTAGCAAGTCAGTTCTATGGTGTAGCATCTTTCATTTGAAGTACCCCAAGGAATTATTATTATTATTATTATTATGAATGACATATGAAAACTTACTTTAACCCAGCTGAACAGCATATAGAAAAGTTGCTTTCAAAGCTAACAGTATATGAATCTTAGCTGTTGTGTCAGACAGATATTCTGTTTTACAGCAATATCAGTTAACATGTTTGAATGCTTTGGTGCTCTATTCTGGAAAAAATTGTGACACCTCATAATAATGACACTGATATTGCCTTTCTGTCCATCCCTATACTGTAGATTAGGTTTGTCGGTACTTCACAAAGATGATCAGACTGTTCGCTGGTTGTGATCTTGATTCATTCCCATGATTCCACAGGCAGTGATCAATCTTGAAAAAAATCATGTCTGCAGTTTTTATATTTAGGTGCAGCTAGCCTGTTCTATCTACACAAATGAAACTCCCTCCTAATGTAGAGAAATGTTTGATGTATTGCAGTGTAAATTCACTCAGTCGCATCTAAAATAAATCAGGAGTATCATCTGCTCCTTATTAACCCCAATTAGACAGCAGGAATGTGTGACTCATGAAAATATGATAAATGTTTTCAAAGGCATAACTAGATAAATGTAGCTTTAAATTATGAAGAACGGAGGCCCAAGTGTTGCAGCTGGATCTCTTTACACATCAGAGCCAGACAAATGGTGATCTGATCCTTATCTGTTACAGTTTTCAGAGTTCACCTCTTGGCAAACCTCAGCTGGCCTAGCTAAGAACCAGTTGAAGGTGCCTCTTGTAGCAAACATCTGCAAATGCTGTATTTTTGTTAACGGAACCTTGGGAAAGGTACAGCATCTTCTTAAATGGTACAGCCTTTTAAATGGTACAATAAAGCAACATTGCAAGGCATGATTTTTAATACTTCTGAAATAAATGTTATTTCAAAAATCTTTTGCCTATAAAATGCATTGGTTTTTTTATTGGCTAGCTGATCTTTATGACAATTTATTAAAGAGAAAGTTGAAGTGGAATGTCTGGGAAGCTTTTCTTGGTTCTTATCAAATAGCCCATACAACAACAACAAATTTTTACTAAGGCCATTGGCCAATCAACAGGTGACCTATCCCACTGTGCTTATCAAATAAATAATACCCTAATGAGGCTTTCAATTTTTAAGTAATCAGCCCCTGGAACACAGGAAAAAGAGTTCCTAACATGCAACCATGAGGTGCATTTGCCACCCTTTACCCAAAGCCTATATGATATCTGCATGCACATGTGTATATATATATACCTGTTTGCAAATATGTACACATTTTTGAGATGCACGCATACAGGGGTATTTTCAGGTAAAAATTTGCTAACAATTTTTATTGAACTTTTGCAAAAGGTAAAGCTGTAGATTTCATTTCATTTGATACTTATTTGGACCTATATATGTTAAGTTAATCACCCTGGGATTGTTGTGGTCTAAAAAGTACTTTATGCATTTCAGGGAATGATTTTAAAATCTCTTTTTTATATAATCAAGTTTTTTTATTTCAATCTACATACACAATACATTAACAGTGTGACATCAATATATCACACATTTTAGTATAGGCAAAGTTAATAAGACCGATCATATCTCTTAATACACATATTCACATTAAGTCACAATCCTTCATTGCTTATTTTCAACATTTCAATACTCCCTCCTAATGCCAACCACCATATCAGTTAAACATACCTAGTAATTTCATTATTCAATATTCTCCCCAATTTTTATTTTTGTTTTAAATAAAAAATTCTAATTTGGCAAGCAGTGTGGTTCCAGGTTTCATATCTCAATACAAACATGACCACAGTTACCTATTCATTTTATTTATTCAATTTCATATCACATTATCCTTATTAATATTAAGTATTATCTTATCGAATTCCAATTCATGTTATAACTTCATTTTTCATTTTTCTTAGGGTGTTCTCATATCCTATTTTACAATATTATCTAAAATTCTTATCTCATTTCTACGTTCATTTCCCATATTACCTTTTTCCATCACATTTGCAATTTTATCAATTTTATTCTATTAATTCAAAATTGTCCACTCTGGTTAATAATTCGAGCTAGCCAACTTCATTCTACCTTAACACCAATCTTCCTATTTACTATATATCACAAATATATATTTTTTGTCAGATTCCACAGTAGATTTTCTCAATCACCTTATAAGTCATCTATGCCAGTGGTGGGATTCAAAATATTTTACTACTGGTTCTGTGGGCGTGGCTTGGTGGACGTGGCATGGCTTGGTGGGTATGGCTTGGTGGGCGTGGCAGGGGAAGGATACTGTAAAATCTCTATTCCCACCCCACTCCTGGGAAAAGGTTACTGCAAAATCCCCATTCCCTCCCCACCCCACTAATCTGCTTTCCAGCTCTGTTCTCCTGTGCAGGACAACAAAAGAAAACCCAGCCAATTGGCTGGGACTTGGGAGGCAGAGAATAGATGGGGGCGGGGCTAGTCAGAGGTAGTATTTGCCAGTTCTCAAAGTTTCCACTACTGGTTCTCCAGAACTGTTCAGAACCTTTTGAATACCACCTCTGATCTATATTAATCTAATCAATTAATAATAGCAACTGATATTAATTTTTCCATAATGATTCTCATTTCATCTTTTTTTCTTATACATCACTAATTATCAATTAACATACAATATTTTTATTATAAATTCCCATTTCCATATTTATTTCATTGTTCCATGTCTAATGTAGCGATAATCCTTTAATAAAAAAAGAGAAAGAAGAAAGTAACTAAAGAAAAAACCATATCAGTTACATTCTTATCTATTTTCAGTACTTGTTCTTATATATCACAACATGTTACCTTGCTGAACCTCCTTCCCTATCCTTTTTTTTTCACCCAT